ATCCTGCTAATTTATTATTTGTATATATAGACACCCCCTTTGCAACTTTGCCAAGCTTAGTCCATCTTGGTTTCCCCTAATGTGCCTCAGAGGGCTCTTGTGTATAACTGACACCAGTCCTGGCTAGTTGGTACAGATCTTCCTCACCTTCCACTGCCGCCTCTCTCCTGCCTCACCCCATGTCACTCTGCCCTGGGTCCTGAACGCCAACCACACCAGCCTGCCTTCAGCTTTGTCAGTGTTACAAGGTACTTCTCACCTCATAGCACCTTTGCACATGCCATCTCCTGCCTGGTTGACTCCTGCTTATTCTGCGGCTTTCAGCTGCATTGTCCCCAATTCAGGGAGCTTCCCGAACTCCTCACCCCAGCCTACCCCCAAAATTTCAAATTAGATCCTCCCTGAACTGGATTTAAATGCATTATGGAGCATCTTTTCAGTAATACTAGGTGGTCACTTAAAAGAACAAGATGCATCCATATATTATTAGGAAGGATAAAAGCAAGTTGCAGAACAACATGTATGGGAAGTGATCCCATTTGTAAACCTTTTTGAAAAGGATGTGTGTGCTGTGGTAGTCATAAATTCTTTTCAGTAAGTATATACAAGGAGTTGTTCATAGCAGTTACCTGTAGGGAGTCAACTAGGGCTCAGATAAGGGAAGGAAACTTTTCATGTTAAACTTTTCTGCAGCATTTGTGTTTATTACCACACATGATTTTACTTTTACATTTACATTTGAGACAGTTAGGTCTCCCTGTTATTTTTAGCCTCAGAATCCATTTACTTTCCCTCAGTAAATATTTGAATTTACTTGTTTATTCTCCCTCACTGGTGCTGATGCTCCATGAAGACAAGGATCGTTGTCTGTTTCATTTGCTGTTGTTGCTGCCACCACTTAGCACGGTACCTTTCACATAGTAGATGCTCAGTCAGTATTCCTTGAATGAATGAACAAGTGCACAAATGCAGTTTCCCTGCCGTGTGGCTAACTGGGCAACATGTGGGGCAGACAAGCAGGTTGAACATGTGAGATGGCTGACATAGGAGGCAGGGAACAAAGACCAAAGAAAACCTGTTTAGCTTAAGATGTGAGCTAGGAAAGAGAACAGCAGATGATCTATGTGAGGATGGCGACCTGCGCGGGCATGGCGACCTGCGTGAGGAGGCACTGCCTGCTGGCAGAACTTAGATGAGGGATGAGGACACCTATTCCCATGCCCTGGAGGGATAGCCCCCTGTCTCTGCCTTCCCCTTTTCTGGGGAAGCCATCTCCTTCTCCTTGGGGCTGGTTTACTAAGGGTGGCAGAGAATGAGTGTCCAGGGCTTTCTGGCATTGGCGCACTCTTAATTCTGCTCCATTTGGCCTTATTAATAGTAGGAAAGTAGCAAGTCAAGGCATATAATGAGGGAGAGACTTAGCTTCTTTATGGTTATTGGTGTCAAGAGAAATAGCCAAGAACAGGGGACATTGAGTCTCAAGCAAAGTGAAAGCTGCTCGACTATAGCCAGTGTCTCCCTCAACTACAGGAGGCGTCTCTAAAGGCACTGCACCTTTGCAAAGAAAGCATGGATGGGGTGCGGACAAGCTCAAGGGGTGCACTCGTACTGGAGTTGGGGGGCTGGCTCTGTTATTAACGGTTTCCCTTCATGCAAGCTGCCTAATGTTCCTCAGCCTCAGTGTTCTCATCTGGAAAAAGGGCAGGAGGAAATGAGAAAATGAAGGTAGAGCCTTATAGTTTCTCTCCATGCTCAATATCGTATCTGTTAAATGCCCAAGAATAGCATGGCAGTTAGTATTTCATAAAGATTATTGCATTTAATACTTGCAACAACTGTATGCGGTGGGCATGATTATACCAGTTTTACAGGTGAGGAAACAAGGCCCAGAGGTACAGTCACACAGCTCTTCCGTGGGGGATGCGAAACCGGCCATCCTGCCTCCAGAGCCTGTGCGCTTAACCACTGCACAGGCGTCCTACCCTGTACTTAACTGGCGCACTGTTTCTACTGATGTTCTTCCTCTTATAAGCAGCATAGAAGAAAATGAGAATAAAGTTCACATAATTATTAGTTTCTAAAAAACAGTGGTAGCTTTTCAACAGCACTAGAGCAGACACTGGTATTACTCTCTCTGTATGAGAATCGTGTGCTTTAGAGTATTAAACTGGACAGCCTGAATCAGGCTGGTTCACTGGTCCAGACTTGCGTGAACCATGCTGATTGCAGGCAGGGCCAGATCATTTCGTGTAGGTGATTTTGCATGAAGAGGTGGATTTCTTAAGTCCATTTTTTTTTCTACATTCGTTCATGGTATGTGGGGGGTTGGGGGGGGAGGGATGGGAAGGAGAGGAGGAACAAATATTCCCAAGAACATACTATGTACACATAAGCAAGTACTTGTCTGTGATTATAAATTAGAAACTGTAAAATTGTGAAGTTCTTTGAAGTTTGCCCAAAACCTGCTCCACGGCCACCTGTTCCACTGGGGGCTGGGAGTTGGATGGCCTGACTCCGCTGCGATGGCTCAAGCTGTCACTACACCGGAATGTTCCAGCTTGCCTTGGCCTGGCTGTCATCGCTGGCTCTGTCCCACTCAGGCGGTTCACCGGGTTCTGTTGGGCACCAGGCTTCCAATTAGAGAGAAATCCCACTGTGTGGCCAGCCCCACCAGTGCCACTCTGAGAGGCCCCTTTGCCAAGGCCCGAACTGACCTCTGATCTGTCACAGATGGGCCAGCCCCACAGTCCTTTGTGCACATTTGGAGGAGGGGGGTGGGGATGAACAGAGAAGCCTATGGGGAGTCAGAGTGGACATTGGGCTGCAGTGCAGTTCCTCAGAGCTGGGAGAAGCTGGGCAGAGTTGACAGGACCCAAATGCTAGTGTTGTGGAGGGAAAGGGGACTTTGGGAAGACCCTGTCCTGAGCCCTAAACTCAGCATGGGGCATTTTCTTACCAACTTCTGAATATTCATTTCAGGCTGGACTCCACATCCGAGGAGAGCCAGGAGCTGCTAACTGGCTCACTCCAAAACTGTCACACTGCTGATGGCGCATGGCACAGTCAGCCTCCTCGTGCCCTGCCGCAGCGTCTGCGCAGTCGTCACCCCAGCCTGGGAGCCCCTTGCGCCCTGGGCTCAAAGGCACTGTCAGCAGCAGCACTCACCATGGGGCATTAGTCAAGCAGAGTGAGAGTGAAGAAGAAAGCTCAGATTTCTATTAGCATAAGAAATAGAATCTTAGAGAGTTCCATCTCTAGTGCTTTAGCAGGATAGAGAGACACAGTCTACGCTCTGAACAGCTTCTTTCTAGATGGAGGACTTGCTGAATGTGGTTCACCATTTTGGGGGTGGTGTACGTGTCTCCTTTATTTCTGCTGTCAGCCATTTCTATTCATTTTATCCCTTTCGTTCCTTTAACCACTCTCTTTTTTCCACCTGTCTCTTTCTCTCTGTGTCTCTCTTGCATACTTTATCTTTTTCCAGGTTCAGCATCTGTAATGCCACAGTCTGAAGCAATAATAAAGACACCAGGCTTGGGCCCAGCCGGTGGCTCAGTGGTTGAGCATCGACCCCTGCACCAAGAGGTTGCCGGTTCGATTCCCGGTCAGGGCACATGCCCAGGTTGTGGGCCCGATCCCCAGTGGGGGGCATGCAGGAGGCGGCCAGTTGATGTTCTCTCTTATCGATGTTTCTTTCTCCCTCCCCTTCCTCTCTCTCTCTAAAATCAATAAAGAAAAAAATTAAAAAGAAAAGACCCCGGCTTGGAACTTACACATATACTTGGGCTTTGACTAGAGCAATCACAAAGTCTAAATACAGAATAGCCTGAAAGTGGCGAGGGTCTTTCCAGCTGTTCTTGAAATGGTGCTGTGTCTCTTTTAAAAAAAAAACTTGCATTCAATCCATGGAAGCAGAAACGAAGAGTTTCTTCACTTTTCTCTCCTCTCTGGGATTTTTCCTCCTTTTGGTATTTGTACCTGGCTTGGAAATTCCAGAACTATCTCGGCCCACTTGGCCTTTTTTCCTGCCTTATCTCTTTTTACTCTGCCTCTCTTAGCAGTCTGGTTAAAACGAAAAAAAAAAACAACTCTACCAGTCAGTGATACTCATTTGGAGAAGGGAATACAAGGGTGTTAGGTTTTCCCCATGAGGAGATGGGCTATTTTTGTACCTTAAGCCAGTTGCTGCAATTAAATTCTGTGCTGTCTCTGTTTCTCCACTGGTGTGACTTTATTAAATTGGTGAAAGAAATAGCCTTGAGGATCCTTCTGTCTGTATGTCTGTCTCATGGAGTGTTCAGAGAAGGAAAATCTCTGTGCAACAGCAAGATAAGTGTCATCTTTAGAATTAGCACTGTTTTTATATTAGACCTGGCAAAAGGAGGCCCTGATCTTGGTACATGGCTGGGAGCAGAAGGTCATTAGGTGTAAAATGACCTTCAGTTGCAGGCTCAGGGCCAGGAAGACTGACAATTGCAAAGACCACGATGAGCTCATGCACCTGTGTCCTTGGTCACAAGGAGGTGTGCTCACAGTGACATCTAATTCATGGCAGTGCACTTTCTCAGCTCCTGTGTCTCTGACCGTGCCAGGCTCGTTCACTGATTCCCCTTCTTTCCTCTCCTCTAACATAAGCACTGGGACTCCCTTCTCATTTCTTTACATTTCTCCTTGGAGACGCACTCCAGTGACTCCTAACCTGCAGTGTACATCAGGATCACCAAGACATCTTAGGGAAAAATACAGATGCCTTAGCCACACCCAGCTGGTTTGGGGCCAAAGCCTGGGATTCGGGAATGATTGATGTTCTACCTCAGTCTAATGTGCACCTCTAGTTCAGTCCCACAGTCCTGGACTGGGAGCCCCTGGAGGGCAGAGACTGTGTCTGAGTGTCCGGTCCACCCCCAGCTGACAGCTGGCATGTTGAAGGCAATAAACGAAGAAGCGGGCAAGATCCCTGTTTGTGCTGCTGACAGTTTTGCTGCCTCCTCTCATTGCAGATATTCTTGTTATTCCGGATCTGGAAGAAGTACAGGAGGAAGACTTTGTTTTGCAGGTGGCAGCCCCTCCCAGGTACATTAAATTAGGTGTGAAACTGGAGGGAGGAAGGGAATATGTGAATTAATACACTCCGGATACCATCTACAGTGGTGCTGCCCCAGTGCAGACTTAGATGTTTCTAGTGATGGGCTCCCTCCCAGGGTTCCCATTTTAGTAGACATTTTCTTCCCATCTTGATCTTACCCAGCTGCCTAGGAGGCTCTGGGGACAGTGGCCCAGCAGCACTCGTGCCTGTGGTTCCTCCTCATGTTCTTTTTCCAACAGCATCCAGGTAAACCGGGTGATGACCTACCGTGACCTGGACAATGACCTCATGAAATACGCAGCCTTTCAGACCCTGGTGAGTGGAACAGCTTCTGCATAGAGAGGCAGGCTGCAGGCATCATCCTTAAGGATTTTTCTGCTCTTCCATGGGTTTCTGAGGCTGCCTGGCAACAGTCCCTTTGCTGGAGTCATTGTCCTTGGGTATTACAGTATCTCAGGACCCGACGTATTCCAGTATTTCCCACTGCAGGCTCCCACCTGCTTCCGTGGGTGACCACTTGGGGTCAATTGATGTGCTGGCCCTAGAGCTATGCTGCTGTCATGCCCTGCCCTCCTGGTGTTGACCTTCCCCCGAAGAATGCCCAGCCTGCAGGATGTCATGGTGTTCCCTCAGTGGCTATGTGGTCCTCTCTCATTTTTACTCTTGTAGAAGGCATTCCTGCAGCTCCGGGTTTGGGAATCTACCACACACAACCTCAGTTTGCAAGAGCTAATTGTCCGAAGGCTTCTCAAGGCGTACAGCCATTTTCTTTTTCTGCATTCACAGGATGGAGAGATCGACCTGAAGCTCCTCACCAAAGTACTCGCACCAGAGCAGGAAGTTCGGGAAGTAAGTCACAGCACCAGCTTCTTACCCCCTCAGCAGAGTCATTCCTGTAATCAGCGGGCTCCCCAGGCTGACCTCTGCCTCCCTGGTAGATGGGTGTGGGCGGAGGGCTGTGATCGCAGGGAAAGGCCTTCCTTTGCCTCACCCGGCAGTACCTCTCTTGGCAGGACGATGTCAGCTGGGACTGGGACCATCTGTACACTGAGGTGTCCTCGGAGCTCCTCACTGAGTGGGACCTGCTGCAGACAGAGAAGGAGGACCCTGTGGAACAGTCCACAAACACCTGAGCCCTTGGGGCACAGCGGACCACTCTCCCTGCGCAGAGTAACCTCTGCTTGGACTTAAAAAATGCAATAAGCCTAAAACTAAAAAAGCTTGCAAACAGCTTCGAATTTTCATATGGAATATTTTGTAGTAAAAATATTTATTTTCAGGAGACCACATGGGATCATTGAGTTGTAATAAATTCCTGTTTTCTGTGGCTCTCTCTTCCATTGCTTTCCAGTGCCCTCTTGGAAAGGTCCGTCAAGATGAAGGAAGCAGCTTTTAAACAATCTCATGGGAACTCTCCCCACTGTGGAAGAGCATGAGGGAAACTAGATCAGGGAGAGAAGGAATGTCACTCTTCCTGGAAGTTGTTCAGTCCCCAGAGGCCGTAGAAGTTTCCTGGAGCATCCTCCTGTAAGCACCCGGACGCAGGGGTATGAGAAGTTGCGGGCGGCCCCCTGTGGGGCCCAGGGGTGGGTCTGGCAGAACATCACTCTCACCTTGGACTTGCAGTTGCATTGCTGAGGTTGCACCGCCTCCTTTGTGCTTTTAGGCGGCTTAGCTGGAACACAGCAAGAAGTGGGTGTGGTAAGGTGACCCATTCCTCACGTCGGGTTGGTGGCTCTTCTGACAGCACTTCCCTTTCACTGTCTTCCCACAACCCGTGCCTGGGGCTGCCAAAGCATGTTTCCCTTCTGCCACAGGTTCCCAGAGCCTCCTTCTGGTTCTTGTTAGCAGGGGCCAGCTTGGCAGCCCTGAGAAGTCTGCAGAAACACTCCTGGGGAGCCCAGGGCGCCCTCTGATACTTTCAGATACACAGCTGCTTGTGTCCCTTGCTCCCCCATGCAGCATCACCGCCTGTTTCCAAAATGCACTAAGATCTGGAGCAGAGCCCAAGCCTTTTTCTAAACAGAGACATCTTTAGTTTTTGTTTTTCTCTCTTCCTCCCCAAGACATCTCATCTGAGGAGAGGGACGTTACCTGCCCACGTCTCCTAGATGCCACTTTGGATCAGGCCCATGCAGGCTGGCAGCTGAGGAAGCCCCACTCCTGGGCCAGGGAGTACTGCTCTCATCCTGCCTGGAGAGCCCTTCATTAAAATTCAGAAAAACAAAGAGGCTCAGCACTTCAAAAACCCACTGGGGGGTTGTTTTTGTATGGCTATGTGTGCCCTCCCCCGGTGAGCCAAGCAGGCTCCCAAGCAGGCACAGAGAATGCTGGTCTACTAATTATAAACTCTGGGACTTAGTGGCTTTGGAGTCTCTTCTCCTCCTCTTCCAGAGTCACACTTTTAGCCCAGACAGCCCCTCTTTGGAATAATTCCCACAGTCACTGAGTTTTCATCTGGGCTGGTTTTTCTTGAGCCTGCATCATTCTGAAACCCAAAGGAGAAAGGCTGTATTTCTCGTACCTTAATTACTGGCAAATTCACCGCCTCAGGACTCCGATAACCTTGGAGATCTTCAGCCGGCAGGAGCACGTGGCTAGGGGTTGACTTCCTTCCTCCCGCCCTTTATTTTATACCAGCAACAGCAACAAGACCTAACATGTATTGAGAGCACTTCCCACATGCCAGGCACTAGGCTTGCACATATGAATTACCTGTTTAATCCTCACAACACCCAGCAAAGCAGATACTGTTGTTAGCCCATTTTACAGATTTAAAAAACAGGGTCAGAGAGGTAAAGAGATTGCCCAAGATTATTCATCTACTTAGTGGCAGAGCTGGAATTCAAAACCAAGTTGTCTGACGCCACTGTGCTTTTAACACCTGTGGTTTTCCCCCGCTCTGCTGCCTTCAGCTTGGGAAAGGGATCTGGTTTAGAGCGGGCAGAATTAGCAGTGTGCTGGGAGAGACTGCCTGCCTCCTCTCCACCCTTGACCAGGCACTTTGTATGGAGTGACCACAGGGCAGAGGGCTCTGTTAGGCCCCTCATCATGGCTGAGCTCAAGAGTCCTGGCCCTGGGTCATGGGGATGAAGCCAGTGGACCCGGGAGAGGAATAGCGCTAACTTATGTGACTAAGCCTGGACAAGAGCCAGGTTCGGGCCATGGGTGGTCAGTTCTGTCACCTGCCTATGCCCAGGCCTCTCCCTGTCTGGGCTTCATCTTGTACAATGCATTTGACATCACCTCTTCAGAGTTCTGGGCATTGACAGGTTGTTCCAGAGCCTGCATCCACCCAGCTTTCACTCGGCGTCTGAGATACTGTCCTTATGTTCCCATCAGCGGGGTCGCCGCCCAGACTTCACAGCGCCTCCCAAGAACATGGCCCCCGAGGTATGGCAGGGTGGACAAGCACCTGCAGGTACCCACAGGGTGGTTTTGTGCCGGCGTGCGGGGGAGGCATGGACTGTGTCTTGGTGCAGCTGTCTCCATGTGGCGTGTTGACCAGTTCCTTACCAGTTTCTCCTAGACTGGCTTGTGTCACTTCTGAGCAGGCTTGTCACCTCCCAGCTGGTCTCTGACAAAATCTCTCATGGTGTCTCTGCATTGCTCCTTCCTAAGATATTGGTTGCTACTTAGTATGTGCCAGGCTCTGTTCTAGGCACTGCAGAAAAAGACGTAGACGAGGGAAACTCCCGTCCCTCCTAGCACTTACACCCAGGGGAATGGGAGGGGGACAAATAAGGAAGGTGAATGTGTGCGACAGGAATAGATGCTATGGAGAAAAATAAATAGAACAGGGAAGGGGGTGCTGGGGTGGAGGTCACAATTTTAAATGGGGTGGTCACGGGAGGCCTCACTGAAAAGGGGACATTTGAGCAAAGACCTGAAGGAGGTAAAAGAAGGAACAGAATGGCTCCGTGGGGAACAGTGTTCTAGGAATGAGAACAGTACTTGCAAAAAGCCAGCAGGAGGCTCTGGCCAGCTGGCTCAGTTGGTTGGAGTGTCATCCCATACACCAAAAGGTTTCAGATTTGATCCCTAGTTGGAGTGTGTTCGAGAGACAGCTGATGGATGTTTCTCTCTGACATCGATGTTTCTCTCCCTTTCCTCTCTCTCTAAAATCAATAAACATATTCTCAGGTGAGGATTTAAAAAAACAGTAGGAAGACGTGCACCTGGCTTGTGTGAGCAGCAGCAGGAAGCCAGTGTGTCTGGGATGGAGGGGACAAGAAGAGAGGAGATGCCCTGTCTTGTGCCCAGGGCCTGGGCTTATCACGGAAAAGAACTTGGGTGTGTGGGGTCCACTCCCATCACAGACACGTACGCTCTTAGACCTTGGGCTTGCCAGGCAGCCTTTGGAAATGTCATCCAAACGATTGCACAGCCTCTTCATGCCTCGGCCTGGCAGAAGTGAACAGTTCATGCTACATTGATAGAGAAGGGGAACAATGAGCTCTGTCTGCCATGGACCAGAGATGAGGAGGCTGTTGCCAGCTCCCCGCCAGGCTGGGAAGACAGGGCGGCATTGTATGGCCTGGCGTGGAACTCTCCCTGGAAACCACAGCTCCGATGACAAGCTCGAGCGAGCAGTTCATCTGGGCAGGCCCGTGGCTGAACCTAAGGTCATCTCTACCCGAGTGTTGGCCTGTCTTTCCTACACCCCAGGACACTCAGACAGGCTTTCGGAACTACGTGCTCCAGACAGAAACTGGTGCTAGTGCCTTCAACGAAACGTACTCTGTGCACACCAGAACCTCTCTTCATCGGTGGTTAGGGAGCTCCAGGGAACATTGGTGGCGGAGACCCAAAGGAAAGGCCGTGTTCGCTACAGCAAGATACGACCGCTTCACATCCTTGCTCTGCTTGCCTAAGCAGGGCTGTGCTTTTCTGCTGGGGGTCAGAGAGTCGGTGGGGAGTGAGGAAGGAGAGGGGGTAGGGAGCAGTGGCAAAGAACACAGATTCCGGAATCAGGCGGGCCTGGGTTCCAGTCCCAGCTCTGCCACCCAGTAGCTGTGGGTCGTTGCACGAGCTGCGTTCCCTTTCTGACCCTGCTTTCTCATCTATTCAATGGGGGTAATATGTGAACTGTCCAGTAAAAGCCAACTGCTGTTAGATTTTGAACTGGATGTGATTGAATAGTGAACATAGGATAAGTCACTTTGGATATTTTACTGCAACAACACCTGTGTTTGCTAGGGGATCCCACCTTCATTTCCTCCATGCATCATTTCTCAGCCGTGCATAAAATGGCTTGGCACTAGAGTTTTTTGGTTTTGTTTTTATAGCAACTTTATTGAGGTATAATATGCATGCCTTAAAATTCACCCACTGAAAGTGTACAATTCAGTGATCTGAGTAGATTTATGGAGTTATGCAACCATCACCATAATCTGGTATTAGAACATTTTCATCACCCTACAAAGTGCCCTGTGTTCATTTACCGTCAGTTCTGCTCCCACTCCCAGCCCATGGCACCCACTGCTCTGCTTTCTGACTACGTTTGTGCACATGAATGGGCTCACATAATGTGTGGTCTTTTGACTTTGGCTACTTTCACGTAGCATGTTTTCCAGGCCCACCCATGTTGTAGCATGTATCAATAGTTTGTTCTTTTGACCTCTGAGTGGTATTCCATTGTGTGGGTCCATATCACATTTTGTTTAACTTTTGTTCATCAGTTAAGGGACACTTGAGTTTCCAGTTTTTGCCTATTATAAATAACAGCCCCGTGGACATTCATGTACATGCCTTGGTGTGGACATAAGTTTACATTTCTCGGGTACATTCCCAGGAGTGAAATTGCTGGGTCATGTGGTATGTTTATGTTCAAATTTTAAGAAACTGTCGAACTGTTTTCCAGGGCATTAGTTCTGTTTGTTTTTTAGTGTTTGGGGGTATCAGGATAAGTTCTTACTTTTTTTCTTTCTTGTCTCCTTTTCATAAGTTTTTCCAAGGTTGCTGTTAAGTGTATAGGAGGCACATTCTCCTGGTTCCCCCCTTCCTTCCTTCCTGTCATGGAGCTTATCTCTGTTCTGAGGACATAGAGCTCATCTCATTTTCCCCACCAGCCTGTGAGCTTCTTCAGGATAAAATGGGGGTGGTGTTTGTTTCTATCAAGCCCCGTGCATGTTCCAGGAGTTCAAAGTGAAATAACACCTGGTACTGACCCCAAGAAACTCACCATTTAGCAGAGAAACAGACATGTTTCATCTGTATTTTTAAAGCATTGGTTTAGAAAACCAGAGAGGCTTTCCAGATGAGTGGAAGAGCCCAAAGGATCCCCTGCAAAGTACAGGTGAAGGGGGAGAGAGAGGGAGG